TATTAAGAAATTATTGTGGTTTAAAGTATGTAAGTCTCCGATGATAAATGCAAGGAGATCCTATTTTTAGATTCCTTTTCGTTGGGAAAATACCATGAAGAACGTATGCGTTTCTAGACGATTGTTGAAGAGCGTGTGGTGAGATTTTGTTGAAAGTGTCTACTGCCACAGCAAAGGACTCTTAAAACGCGGTTCGACTTAATCTAAGTTACAACATTGAAGATCAGAAGTTGTACCCTCTTATTTTTAAATATCTCTTATATACGTTTTAATTGTTATTGTTACATTAATTGCTCATCAGATTTTATTTCTGCGTGAATTCTACGACTTGTTATTTCATTAAATAATAATTATACGACTGGTATATTGTTATTTTTAATTGATAAAAATGAAAGTACTCCGAGAAATATAGGGTACAATTGATTTACAAGAATCCGCTTGAGCCGCCAAGACTGCTGGAATGTATATATTAATTTCGTCTTCGAGATTTATTTTAACGACATATATATATAATAATATACTCTAGTCGAAATGTGTGCTATAATTCACATAATGAAGACCACGTGTGAGATGGCGAGTTAATTTTAGATCTATTTCGTGTTATTTGTTAATTAAACAGTGTTAAATTGCAAACAATGTAAATTGCATTGGTGAAAAATTCTTTGTCGTAAAGGATACTTAATCCTGGACCATACTACAAATAATCACTTTCAATATTAAGCTTGGAGAAATTTTAGAGAAAAGAAGAATTTACCAAAATAAATTCATAAATAATTCAATGATAATAAATACATATCGAAAATCGCATGGAATGATTGAATGTTCTATACTTAAATATTTGCATTAAAAGAGATAATGCTCGGATCGATATTTTTAAAATATAGTTAAATTATTCTTATTGCTGTTACATATCTGTTCACTTGATTATGTAAATTAGCTGTTTTAAGAATCGCTTTTTAAACTGTCTAATCAAAAATTCGTGTTTATCATGTCTCAATATTAAAAATATATGTTCCTTTACGCCGATGAATTTTCACAATTAGCAAAAAGAAATGAATAAAATGATAATGAAATAGTTATTCGATAGGAAAATCTCTTACAAAATCGAATTCGTGAATTTCGTCGCAATATTTTTAAGGATAAATAACCTTTTATTTGGTAATTTATTTAAATTAATATCATTCGATATTTTATCATTAAAAAAGACAGGTTATTTTTAATGAAAAAGAAGATTTAAAACTTTCAATTGTATTTTTAAGAATGCAAATAAATTCAAGAAATGATTATAAATAAAAAAAACTCTCCAAATAAAAGGTTGATATTTAAAGTTATTTAATTTAATTAATTTTTAATAGAGCTTTCCAAATAAAAGATTGATGTTTAAAATTATTTAATTTCTCCATTGCGTTATCGCATCAAGAGAATGGTTTTTTCGCGAGTGATCGCTTTTGTTGACTGTCCAAAGATGTAACTATTAACACTTACAGTATATATCTTTTATATAGCTTATAATTTTTTTAATATATATATATACATATATGTATATGTATGTATATGTGCATATCACTTGGTAAAATTTCGTTGTGACAATGTAATGCGCATCGAATTTCTATTGAATGAAAATTAGACGAGAGAGACGTCTGATTATGTTATTATTCGTCATTGCATTTGGCCATGTTTTCGATTGTTATATTTATGATAGGTTTATCACTGTTCTAGAAATCTGTTACGTGATTTCTTAAATCGAGCGCCGTCTCTCCATGATTTCGTATTTTTTTCGAAGAAAGAAAAAGGAACGATTATTATATATCCTTTTTTTTCATGAAAAAATCGAATTTATGGTTTAATTTCGCAAACGCGAGCTTAGACAGTCTCGATAATTAGACTCACGTTACTATTTACCCTACATTTTTATTTATATATTTTATCTGTGCATGAGTAGACAATTAAGGTAATTTTGCAAGTTAATAAAAATGAATGGTAAAAACTATCTTAGAATAGAGTTTTTATTTTCTTTCCTTTTTAATAACATTCTTGACTCAAATTATTCAATCAAAGAATATAAATTATTATATTTATAAATTATACAATATAACTTTTGTTATAAATAAAATAGAAGTATTAATGTAAAATTTAAATAAAAATATATATTACATACATATAAAAATACATATAAAATATACATATAAAAATATTTATATGTAAAATAATATATCTATATATAAATATGTATATAAAAAATATATATATGACATTTAAATATAAAAAAAATGAATATATATGAAATATATATACATACGATATAAAAATTGGATTCAATAGACGTTATTAATTTTTAATTTTTAATCAATAATTCAAGCAATAAAGATAAAATTAATCAGATATCAGAATTATTTCTTGAACATATAAACTGTAGAGCAAACATAGACAAAGAGAATAAATATGGAGAGAAGGATAGAGATAGAGAAAGAGAATAAATATTTAGAGAAGGATAGAGATAGTATAAAAATATGGAAATCAGCGCCATCTCTAGAGTGCCGCAGATTAAACACAATATAAACAAGGAAAGAAAATATTAAGAGAAGGATAGAAATATTAGGATTTGACCGGTTGTGCCATCTCTTCGAAAAGTCCTCAAACTTGTTGCACTATTACTACTGATAATAAAGTAAACTTCTTTTTTTAGTCTTTGGTTAGTGGCGCCATCTATTTAAAAAACGTTGAAACTCTTTACACATATCAATAAAGTTTCAAAATTTCTTTAAGAGATGGCGCCATTAGTTAAAAACACATTTATTTTACTGTCGATAACAATATGAGTAGCGCCATCTCTTCGAGAAATGCCTAAGCTTGTCGTACATTATTACTGATAATAAAGTAAACTTCTTTTTTTAGTCTTTGATTAGTGGCGCCATCTCTTTAAAAAATGTTGAAACTCTTTGTGCATACTAAGCGATAGAGTTTCAAAACTTCTCAAGAAGATGGCACCACTTGTTAAAACCACATTTATTTTTCCTGTCGATAATAATATGACAAGTTTGAACATTTTTCGAAAAGATGGCACTAGTGGTTAAGTTCTAATTTCTCTATCCTTCTCTTAATATTTTCTTTCTTTGTTTAATTTGTGTTTAATTTGCGGCACTCTAGAGATGGCGCTGATTTTCATATTTTTATTCTATCTCTGTCCTTCTCTATTCTTTGTGTTTTTATATATCATATACATATTTTATATATATATTTTATTTTCATATGTATTTTTTATATACATTTGTTTTATACAGAATATCTCATCTAATATTATAACGTACATCAAGATGATAATATCGATGCAGATACTATATTTTTTTCAGTTTCCTAGAATTAAAAAATAATAATTATGACTTAATTTTAAAATGTGAAATAATTTTCGAATTACAACAATTAAAATAAACTTTAATTATTAGAAATTGCAAATCAAAATCTATAAAATCATATAAAAAAATATTCAACAATTTTAATGCTTTTTTTTAAATTTTAAAATTCAATCTAACTATATTACAACTATATTACAATTGTGCTTATATTTCATTCATGACAAAAAAAGTATATTGTATAAAATATATATATATAAATAATTACATACATTCTGTGATTGGATAAAAAAATGTTATTAAAAACGAAATTACCAGGTGAATTAAAATATGAATTAAAATATTCTTATAATATCATATTTACCTACATATTAATTATTATTAATAATATTTTTATTGCAGAAGTTTCATCATTATTTTCCTTAATTATAATTGCTGTATTATCTCTATGTTTTATTAATAGTTACAATGGTAAATTTGTATTTGATGATTCTGAAGCTATTGTACATAATGAAGATATACAAACTACTCCTTTAATAGATATATTTAAAAATGATTTTTGGGGTACAAAACTGACCCATAAACAAAGTCATAAATCATATAGACCACTTACAATTTTATCTTTTAGGTACTTTTCTTTTTTTTTTTTTAGATAGAAAAAAAATATGTTTAAATATTCTTTTCCTTTTAAACAAATTATTTGTAGATTACATTTTTGGCTTCGTGAAAGTATGATAGCTCAAGATTTTCATATAGTAAATATAATACTTCATGCTATTGTTTCCATGTTATTGTTACCAGTATTTAATATACTTTTAGACTCAAAAGAAAAAAGAACTGCATTTTATGCTACTGCATTGTTTGCTGTTCATCCAGTGCACACAGAAGCTGTATGTAATTTTAATTGCATTCATTTATTTTTAAAGAAAAAAATCACTTTTATTCCTTTAATTCAAATAAATACATAG